TCCAAACCCGTCACTCTTTTAAGCAAACGTGATCTGAATGTATGTACACAGCTGATGAGATTACCACGCAACAGTTGAATTCAACACATCCTGTGATCATGATGGTTCTTCTTGCACTTATGAAAATACTAAAGGGAACTGGCTGCATGTAATAAGCATTGGTTCGAAATTTAGATGTTGTGCCTTGGTCATACATGTAGTTCCGAATAATCAATTGATCAAAACAGCTAAAAAAATGCAAGCCACAGATCAATCGCCATCAGTCTCCACCTTTTCGTGTATCAAATTTTGATTGGTTAAACTGAATCCATTGTGTGTTAAACGGAAAACATCACAGGTAAACTTCCTGCATACAACTATCTGGATTTCCAGGAAATTTGATTGGCTTCATGTACCCGGTGATAGAGCAGCTTTTGTCACTATCATCGGCACATGTCAGTCAATAAGTTCCACTTTTAAATATGTCTACCTTATTTCGTTAACAGAAGAGGATTCTCTGTTCTAGTTCAAGAATTGATTTTTCCAACTTTGGTTTAACTTGAGTCTCCCCGCCGTCTCAACAATTGGACCGAAACTCGCCACCAATGGACAGTAAGTCTTCATTGTTGTAATCCCACTCATTCTGCGGTTCATAATAACACATTAGATCTGAATGGAACAATTACGTTTGGTTAACCTAGCATTAAATCATTGCTACAGGTAAAATACGTCACACAAAGTGATGCACAATGTTTAGAACTGACTCAGAGTATGTTTTGCGTTCCTCTTCCAATTGACTCCGGACTTCCTCGATGAACAACTCGATCTCCTCCAAACGCGTATGCGTAGTGGAATCAGGCTTCTTCCACAGTCGAATTTCATCAGCGAATACCGCATCCAGCCCACTTTCGGGCTGCAAAGGTACAAAACAAAGGGAAAAACGAAGTTACATCAAACATTGGTTTAGTTGTATAATAAAGAACGTATTTCTTTACTATTTTTTTTAATCAATCTAAAGCATTTCCTCTACTCCATATCAATGTTTTTAAACGACAACATCTTTTGTTTGTTTTGCACATTTTCACGGGCCACTCTACTAGTTAGTTCACTCCGATGTCAAGCATAGTGCATTGAAATCAAATTTTTGAAAACTGTCAAACTTTTTCTAGTAATTTCTACAACAATTGCAAGCTTAGTTTGAGTTCTATAATTATAAACAAATAGATAGGGCATTTTAAATAAATAAAAGTGTAATTTTGGAATCAAGGACGAGGTGAATGTATGATCTGCTTGATTTCTGTCGGTAGAATCCCACATCGATAGAATTGAGATTTCTGTCGGAAGTGTCGAGAACCGAGAAAATTGTATGAACTTCTTTCCATACTGACAGTGCTATCCGGTTTTATTCGAATAGTTGGAATTTTGCAATTTATGATTCACTGAACCATTTGATTAGGTTCAAAAGAAAATATGACAGCGCACACTTGCTACCTCGTGGCGTCCGGCGGCATTTCACGTACCAGCTTCAAGTCGTCCAGAACTTTTGAGAAAACCTCCTCATTGTGCAGACAGAAGTCTCTGTGACAAGAGTGGATAAGAACCAGAGTAGAAACATGAAATTTCTGCTTTTGGTATGCTACGTGTCATACATTAACCAAATTTAAACTGTACCAAGTATACGTAAAAGATTTCTAAAAGAAGTTATGTCCCTATCTTAAACCTGCTAGTGTATGTAGTGAACCAAACAGATCGAGTTGTTACACTGAGATCGTTGGGCGGAACTCATCATGTAGTGTTTACATGGAGCTAGGGGTTGGAAACCAAACACATAGGGCGTTGGAATACCAACCCCTTATTTCGGGGTCTGAACCTAATTAGATTGGTTGTATAAGTACCGTCGATGAGTTCTTACAGGCCCGTTTGAAAAGCTGCATTGTGCTTAAAAGTATTCAATGTTGTGACATACTACAAGTCTGCGCGACGTTTACACTTATGAAGACCTTTTATTCAGTAGGCTGAACTGAACACATACTGTCACCCCGCTGTGTGTTTCCTTGATTGAATCCAATAATCCATTGTTGCTGTGATATTCGGAGAGCTTTGAGCTGTTCATTTGATTTGCGGTGGGTTCAACTTCATTTAACCGATAAACACGATGCATGAGAGCTGAAGTTGCTCCGTAACACTTTTGACAAACTCGATTTTCAGGTATCGATTTCGTTGTGATTATGTAATACCAAAACAAATAGATGTTCAATTTCAATTCAGGGGTACATTGCAATAATGCTGCACACGTCGAGCTTTTTCAATCCACTTTTTTTCATGGCCCGGGGCCGATTTTATCATCGTGAGATTTGATATTTTTTGCTCTATGAAATCGTTCTCAAAGGTAATTGATATGAAATCGTTCATAAAAATTTCAAATGATATTAAAGCATGAAATACCTACTTTATAAACATTTTACAGATTAGTAGTTGGTTTGTAAATGGTAGACTCATGAAAAGCCTATTTCATAATGGAAAAGTTTATTTTTTGTACCTAATAAAGTACTCGATGTCTTTCCATAATTTATGTATTACCAGCTCCATTCTGGTTGTTATAGTGCCTTCTGAATGCAGAAGATGACGCCGATTTCTATTGTTCGAAAATCCGCAAGCCAATCAAAAGCGATTTAGTAACTACCAATTCCATTCGTGTCATCAAAATCCAGTGTCATGAGAGCGCAAGTCAGCAAACAAGCTTGTTTTCGGTTGTTCATCAACTGGCAAAATACAGCACATTGAGTCAAAAATATACACAGATGTACTTTTACAACATATATCTGGTTTCCGTGATCGAGGTAAAGGTTGGTTCCTTCTCGTCCTTCTCTTCATAGGCTCAGGCGATAAACATAAGGTTCCCGGATCGGCGCACAAATAGTCAGACTCCACGTCACCGAAACTTTCTTCCCTATTTGGTAAGGTATTTGAAAATACTTTAGTTTGTTTATAGGGAAATCAGTCATTTCGCACGGACGGGTTTTAATGGACCCGATCCAATGGGTGACGTGTGACGGTAAAAATATCAATCAGTTTGTGGGGTCCCAGTAGAATGTGATTGGTCGGATTCACTTGAAGTTGCAATGACTTCACTTGAATTTCAAAAAGCAATATTTCATATATCAGTACGAACCTGTTTCCGCTTCAGTTGTGGTGGTTTGTTTACTACGCGACGAAATATACAATCCTAAGTCGGTAAACAACACCGGTGAGTGGAACTGTACGGCTACAAAAGCTGAGTAGTAAGGTAAAGAACCGCGCCTAGAAGAAGTGTTGTACAGAGCATTTTTTGTTGTACCAAGTTGTTACACGAGAATCCCCTTCCAACAGTAGCATCAATTTCTCTTTTCGCGCCATTTCACGTGCCCAATTTTCCTATCTGTATTAAATTCAAAACCAGTGGAACTCACTGATTTTTCTCCTTGTTCACTGGTAGCCATTTGTTCGTCACTGGCACCTTGTACCGGATAACTTGTTTGCGAGTCAGTGCGTCCGTTTTGTTTCGCGCATACTTCAAAACGGGGAGCATGTCCACAATGTTTGGACAACACATTCGATTATCACCCTGGTAAAAGTTAAAGCGAGGATAGATTCACAGGCGATTGAAGTGAGGTTCAGGGAATCAATCACTAGGGCACCCCTATTCAATGGAAGCAGTTAGTAAATCTTATTTTATTTTCCAAAGCTGAACAATACAGCAAAAAAGCTTGTCTTTGTGAGTTTGTCTTTAGGCATTTACAGTTGCGTGTTTATATATAAGGTAGAAATAAACAGGATTGGTTCGTTAAGGTTAAATGGGAAAGAACAACAATGTCTGTCAAGTTCTATCGGTGGCAAATAGAAAGGGTGGAAGCGGGACCAAGGTGCGAATCCGGAGTAGTAAGTTCACAGTCTATCCAGTATACCCAGGTTCTGTCAATTGTTAAAAAAGTCTGCTACCCAAAGGCCAAGGGTGATCAGCGTTTCACAGAAGTTCAGTATATATGTATATATATATACATATATATATATATACATATGTATACATATATATATATATATATGGAGAGAGAGAGAGAGACAAGCATGGCCACAACAATAATAACAATAACAATAATAGGGCAGGTGGATTGGGATACAGAACAAAGTGGAAAGTTGAAGAAACGGTTAAACATGGGAAAATGGTAGATAGCTGAAATAACAAAATTTATTTTGTGTTTCACCTTACACTTTTTTTATATTTCAGTTCGAGAGCCCAGATTCGCAGACTGAAGGTTCAACTGCCAGAAACCAGTTGATGAATTCAAAGCTAGCCTTATTGATTCCTTCACGATGCCGCACGCAAAAAACACGTCAAAGCCCTAAACGAGCTGAAGCAGAACACGGNAGAACACGGAAATCCTGATCTCCAAACTTGACAAAGGCGAGTGCTGCGATCGGATCGTAGAACAAATGATGACAAATCTAAGCGACCAGAACAATTTCACGAAGGATCAACAAAGGACAGATATATCAAATACAACGGAACGACATTTAGTCTCACAACGTTGAAAGCTCAAAATTACATAAAAAAATTTTACCACGATCAACCAAAACGAATTGGGATTCGTATCACTAGACTATGTGGTCTACCAAAGCAAGAACGCCATTACGATCGGTGATTGATATGCGAAACTTTCGTTTTGTTCCCACTGCTCAATGGGTGGCAAAAATCATGGAACTGATCAGGGAGAAAGTCCGTGAACATAGTCTGAAAGATGCACTCGAATATGCTGTGAGCTCGCTGAACAATCCCCTTTAACAAATGTGCCGTTCTTTGAAACTGCGTCTTATCTGTGCCTGTGCATCAATGAGGAAAATATACGAACTGGCATTCCAACTGCAAACCTGAAGGTTTAGTTTCAGTATACAATATATAAATGTATCAAAGGAATACTCAAGAAGATACTGACAACTGCGAAAGCCATAGCAATTAGGATTATGAATTCGGAGTTATGCAAACAACGTAATCGGGTTCAAGTGTTGCTTTTAACACAGCCATTGGATTGGATTGGATTGGATTGGATTGGATTGGATTGCCCTATACTCCTTTTTGACATCTTTTCCATTCTCCTCCTTTCGTCGTTTACTGTCTTTCTTCTCAAATTTTCACACTTGTTTTATTCATATCTTTCATATCATGTTAATTTCATATAGTTTACCCTGCTTATTCCTATCCATTTATAGTGATCTTATAACGTGTTATCAACCGAACGTTTTGCAAATGCGGACCAAGTTAGGCCTTCTGTTGGCTTTCTGGTTAGTGGATTTATGCGCACGTATACAGTAGCATGCATATAGTGCGACTGCTCCATCGTTTCACAATGTCTTGTTCCTCCCACCCGTAACCATAAACAAGTAAATTCCCTCTGACCCTCGCTGCGATCTGTTCGAATCAGTTTCCGCGATTTGCGGCACTTGGAATCCCTCACCCAAACACGAGACTGTCTGGTTACCGGCTTGTACTTTTTCGAATGCTCTTGTTGTCATGTCCAGTCCACCCGTGCGGTGATTACACACCTACTGTACAGTCAAAGTTCACTGGGCCTGCTAAAGACTCGCGGCTGTGAAAAAATGTGGTTTTTCGCTCGGGCTAGCTGGGCAAGCACAAGGACCCTTATTACCGACCTATCGAGAACTG